GCGCAACAACCCAGAAGACAGAAATCTTCATACTCTGATGACGGAGGCAGTATGACCTCTGAAACGTTGGTAAACATCTACCAGACTACACAGCGCAATAACCCAGAAGACAGAAATCTTCATACTCAACGCTGTGAAAACCTTAAATCTTACAAGATTCGAATAGTTAGATCACGTTCTCGTCTGTGAAATTGGAACATTACGTAATTGACTGTTTTGACTCCACAGGTTAAGGAAAAAAAATCATACATTGAGGTTATCTGAGAATGACTCTGATCTTTAGAGTTAGTTGATTACTACTTCAACTCCACTGGTTTATAAAACGTCGAATAATATGGGAAGATAATCATGAATGGTGAGTAGGTAAGTATTTGGAAAGAGGCATGGTGGTCCATTTCAAATCACAGTCTATCGGAATTAGCTTGGGCAGACTGAGGAAAATCGCGTGCTTGATTCGAATCATCTCCAGAATATAAGTCTAAAGACTTGCCGTTGCACTAACCTGGTGTGTGTGGAACGGAAAAGGAATGATTTCTTTGGCGGTGATGCTGATGACAGACAAAGGACAGTTCATTTCTATCCAGGCAAAAGAAGTCCGTCACCTGGTTACAGAAACTGTGACTGAAACGTTTTATTGCACACTACCTAAAGCCCCGATGGATTCTCGGAATGTTACTTATATTAATTTCTCATTTTTCGGAAGGAATTCACGCCTTGTCTCTTGTTTCTTAGGTGAAAATGAATTTCCATTTATTTTAAAGGCTACAACTAGACACACCATTATAATTATACAACTCCTATGGCCCTTGAGAACCTACTAGTCGTTCATGTAGTATAGAAATTCCTCTACCATCATGGAGCCTGAAAAGGATTTTGTAATATATCAGTGTGAACCCTCAATGTAGACACGTGCGCCCTGAGACGAATCTATCCGAGTCTATACAGGACAACTCAATGAAAACATCTGGCTGCTGTGCCGTTTGAACCAGAAAACGCAGTGATCGAACACAGCGGAAATGCAGTGCCGTGCGACCAGCACAGCCGCCAATTACCTCACTGTAAATATTAAAAGAAAGAAAAATTACTTAACATACTATATAAAGCATATCATAGTGCTGAAGACCATTAAAATATGCGTCTTCACATTGATTTCAATTTGTTACTATTTTAAAACTTTCGCTACGTACTCCAGTGATACGGGTGGCCCGATAAGAGGACGGTCGTAAGCGCAGAGTCTAAAGCAAAATGCCAGGTGCAACCTAACTTGATATTGCCTTATCAACTTTTCATGTTGACACCTGGTACCCACTTTATCTTTGACTTTATCTCATCCGACACTAGACGCAAAAAAACCTGTATCAGTGCATAGGTAAGACAAGACGACAAACATAACCGATGCGTTCGGAATCAGTTAAATAGTATTTCTAAAAACGTGTTTTCCACTAAGCTCCTGGTTTGTGGCTGGTCCCAAACATAAGTATTTATCTTCGGTAACGTCTATACAGTACAATAAATAAGTGAATTTCTCCTATCAACATAAGCATTCAACGCTTTACAAAATACAACACATTAAACTAACTAACTAGATGGTTTACCGAACCCGAAGGTTCATCACCGAATTAACCAAAGCCCTCCACCGGACCCTGTCCTGGGCCAACAAAATCCAGTTTCCTTCAACTCCTATCTCCCATAGATCCCGCCTGAGATTATCCTCCCATCTACGTCTAGGTCTCCCCAGCGGTCTCTTCCCTTCAGGTTTCCCAACCAGTACCCGGTGCACACCTCTTGTCCCATCCATGCGCGCTACATGTCCCGCCCATCTCACTCTTCTCGACTTAATCCCCCTCACAATACTGGGGGAGCAGTACAGATTTTTAAGCTCGTCATTGTGCAGTTTTCTCCACGCCCCATCGTCTTCCCTCTTAGGCCCAAATATCCTCCTCAACCCCCGATTCTCAAACACCTGCAATCTGTGTTCCTCCCTCTGAGTGAGAGACAATGTTTCACACCCATACAAAACAATACAACACATTATAAAATAAAAATCAATGCAACTTTATGCAATTTACATTTATAATCTTTCAGAAATTTTGTAACACCTTGGCAAGATTAATTTAACTTTTTATTAATGATCTGTAAATCACAAGACAAAAAGAACAAGAAATTCCCTTATTGTTATCACATTTCTCTGTACAAATACTATACAAAAATGCTTCAGCATGACAACAATACACTATATACAATTATTAGTAATATTACACAAAATTTTCTATATTCAAGATGTCTGTTTTCAACAAAATATTTTGGGACAGTTCCCATTATTTCAGCACAAGAAGGAGAAAACCAAACATGTATTTATTTGAAACGACAATGATATTAATTATATTTTTGTTTCCTATGAGTTTGCATTTAACTCCATCTTATCCGCCCACAGATGGCAGAGACGTCAAAAGAAAGTTCACTCGTATCTGTGAACAGTTTTGTACCTAGACTCAATCTGACTAAAACACCACTGGCTCTGTATCTCTGAAAGAGAAAAAGGTGTTACATAAAAGAGTTTTCTTCAACAAAATTTCTTAAAAGACTGTTCCTTACTGAGGAAAGAAAATCAGTAACACGATTATGCAGTTTTCGTTATGTTTTGAAGGCTATTATGTTAAATTCAAGCAATTTGTTTCAGAGTTATCAAATTGAGCATATGCAGGCCTACTTTATACGAATCCTCGAATGTAACCAGCATGAAAAATTGCCTAAAATTGTGTTGTGCAAATTCAATATTAATACAAAGTTCAAAAGTCGACGCCACATTGCTGGTTTGTGTCTTACATCGCTGTATGTTTTGCATTAAAATAGCACAACACACACCCAGCACGTATAATTAAGGCTTTCGTCAAACACGAAGCTCAAATATCAGGAGCTATATTTCAACATATCTATGAAATCAGATTTAAACAACTGCCGAATAAGACCAAATCTGAATACTATTTGGTTGGTATTTTCAATAAAAGATGAAAAAGTGTGAGGCTTATACAATAGCATAATATTTATGAATAGCAGATATTTAGTTTATATAATGAGCTTCTCGTGAGGAGTCAAATAACTGGCTTAATAATGTATTTAGAGCTCAATTTTACAAACGTTGAGATACACTTTATGTTTCTAATTAGAGTTAAATTTGATATTTGTGAAGCACATTTTAGAGCCACGATTATGAATGGTTTATGCAAACCTAATCTGAAGCGCGTATATAAAAATGGACCTTCTTTAAAATTTACTACGTATTTTTCTCACTACACTCTTATAAAAGATATAACCTATGGTGTACGAATTATGGAATCATGTATTCTGTCCTTATTCCTCTGATGTCATTGTCTACACAACATACATCACGCAGGGTTCGAGGTTTTCATGGCGGCGCAAGCTTATAATGCCGAGTTCTAGGTTGTTGTGCCGTGTATGCGTGTAGGCAAATGTAATGCTTCCATTGGGGCGGAGACAACAGATCAGAACCTAAACCGTGTAACAAAATCAAGGCCTTATCAGAGCACCTGCAAGTTCATTAATAGAGCAGATTTACTCCCATTCCATTTTCCCCCCAAATTCTAAGAAAGTAATAATCTGCAGAAATTTAGAAATTCCCCATTGGTAGGAATTTGAATCCCGGATAACAACTGCACGTATAAGTAGAGTACATCGTTAAATGACGTCCCTTAAAATTCAAATTATTTCAATAGTAATAATTCGGCCACGTAAATTATAATAAATATCTCAATTCGACCTAATTGTAATTTATATAGTTCCCTAAAATTACGTTTTTGAGAGAGTATAAAATATTACAATTCATTGTGCAATTATAAATGTAACTTCGGTATAGAATCAATGCCACTAAATAAGAGAGTTTGTAATAAAATGCCGTTAGTACGCAGCAGTACCAAAGCCCTTAATGAACGTTTTTTTAAAAAATAGTTTACAGTTTAAAATTTGGTGCTCCTGAAATTTGACTTATAAAATTAGGAGGTCCAGTAGAATTTTATGAAATCTAATAACCGTGAAGAATGTGTAGAAACACTTTTCAATCTACTACCAAAATAACATACATGCTTCCATATTTTACTGTATTTGATAATCATCATTCAGTTTTTGGTGACTCAGCATACAAGCCAAAGTTCCGATTAAAACGAAACACACACTTAAAGAAGATATATATGTATGCTGTCTAACAGGTATTATCTTTGAAATGTGCTCTCTCTTCATACTCAGATGCAGATATTCGTTATCTTTTACTAGCTACAAATGTGAACTCTGAAATGCAGACGTATAACCTCTTTCTCATCGACACTTGGATAAATGCTTACGTGCCAATTTAATGTCGTCGTTACTGTTTCTTCGGAAGAGAAAACTACTCAAATCCATAATGACTATTTGAAATTACATTAATTAACAATATAATATAAATAAAGAAATCTCTATGAGGAGATAGAACACAAATAACGTGAACAGTTTCATATATAAGATTTGTAATTTATTTTGGATTTCTCAATAAAAATCAGTCTTTCTTTTATTCCGTGAAGACAGAATAACTTACAATTGCATCGTTTCGTTGTTTTATTTTCCCACTGCCCATAAGTCTAGTCAAGGCTACTTGTGAGCTAATATCAAAATGGCAGCAGTCATACCAGGAACGGAAAGATAAAGACCATCACTGACGGAAATATAATCTCAGGTTATGGCATAATAAGTTAATTTAATTGCGTCTGTAATCTGAAGGCATTCACTAAAGAATTGTAAATTCTTCCGAGATTAACATTTTTAAATGTTGTGAGACGTTAGCGAAATGTAAGACCCAACACAATCCTTTTTTACCACGCAATCAAAATATGTTTTTATAAGCGTGTGGAATACTCGTGTGGGTCAAACTGTATTAACGTTTCTGAGTTTTAGATAACAATTCTTAATTTTGAGCAAAAAAAAAATATTTCGAGGTTTCAATTCATACTAAATACAGTTACTGAATAATAGTGTAACAGATATTTTTAATATAAGTTCAATATATAAAATTGTGAAACTGCACTCTGAATCATTCATACCTCATTAATTGTTTACTTCCAATAAGTTTCATTCTAATTATCAGAACTTGCCCTGGGAAGAAAAAATGGCAATAGTAGTAGTGTCTAATGAAGGAAATGACTGGTCTTATCAAGACAAATCCCTAAAGTAATAAATGTGGTATTCCAGACAGAGAGTGAAATGGAATATGAATGTTTGAACCAGTGCATAATGTTAAATGGGGTGAAAACGTATTAAAATATATCAATGGGAGAGATTAATCAACCAAGATCAGTCAGTAATTATACAAATTTATTATCCATATCCTGCTAAAGCTGCAATGACCGTAAATAAAATAACACCCCGAGATAAGCTCATTCGTCTTTCTTTCGTCGAAGTTTTCCTTCAGTCTGGATGGTACGAGAAACAAGATCTACACAGTCCGCGAGGGACGGTTCACTGTTGTCCGCACTGTAATCTGCGCCAGCCACTCGCGACAGGGTCAGTATATAGGAGCAAGCAATTCGGAGGACGGACAACTTGGACAGCTTCTGGTTATGAGAGTATGCAGGGATCGCTCGTCGCAGTGTATCGAACGCAGCACTTATGGTATGAACTCTTGTCCGTTCACGAGCATTAGCCTCTATACGCCTTTCTCGAGTCATATTTTTGTAGTTCCTTTGTTGTCCTCCATTTTGACTAGTCTGTTTATTTTTCTGTTGATCGTTGTTGTTAGAAGACGTTGATGCTATTGAAGGGCCTGGTTTCTCTTCATCGTTCCCTTTGGAACCTCTTGCACGACCAAGCAAAGATTCCACACTGAACTTCGCACCACTACACGTCCGCTGCCTCAAACCTGAACTCAGATCCTCCACCTCCAACATGTTCTTGTCCTCACAGTCTGACAACGTCCTTCTTCCAACTGAGAGAGGATCGGCGGGATCGGTAACAGAGAAATCAACAGCCTCATACCTGTGAGTCCTGTTGACATTAGTTGAGGGGCATCTGACAAAGGTTTCACTTGCTATGGGACGGTTCAGAACCTGAGGAATCAGATCATGTCTCTCCGGTAACATTCGAGGATGCGATAACGCATATCTATCCACCGGAGTTAGACCCTTCACTGTAGCACCTGTCACACCACACAATCTCACGTCCTCAACTCTCCCAGGTACATCGAATCTCGATTTACTTGCATGAGCCGAAGTCACTGACGGATGAATTGATCTCTCTGAAGCGAAGACTTCGGGCCCATGCAAGATTCGGTCTCTCCTTTGAGGAGTTCTATCGTCGTCAGCATTGGACTCATTCTTTAAAACCAATGACAACGGTTCATCTTGCTGGTAATGCAGAATGGGTACGCGGTCATTATAAGGTTGAGAGACGTCAGATGAGGCAGGGAATGGTAAAGCTGTGACGGATGCCGAATGGCAATGCCTCGGTAAGGGTACCTGTGGTGGATGAGTTGGGGTACAGGACGGTGGCGGTGGAGATGGAGTGCTCACTGATGTCGAGGGACATCGTCTCACTTCCTGCGGTGGTGATGGTGGGGGTATCGTTTGCTGACTCCAAGGCCTGAATGGACTTGCAGGAACTGACTGCTGATTTATAGCTCCAGGGAGAGAAGAGACAGAGGAGCGTAGAGGCGGATGATCGTCTTGGAGGATCTGGGATGCCTTCTTGCTGCCCTCGGTGTTGATAAAATGACGTCTTTTCTTGTACGGTGGGAGAACATCGTCATCCTCGCTGGCAACTTTCCGAGGCTCAGCACATTTGCGTTTATTCTTGATACTGCGTAGACTGATGGGCAACACTTTGACCTCTACACTGTCTTCACTGACGTCTGTAGGTGAGTGAAGATCGTCTTCAGCCTCCAAGGGATCTTCCAGGTCTTCGCCCGAGCAGAACCCTGCGTCTCGCTCGATCTCCTCCGACATCTCACCACCTGGAATCGGAAAAAATGGAGACATTTTTATATTTTCACTGCCACTTGGATACACAATAATTCTGAATAAATATCAAATACATAATAAAATCACCCTTCCACTCGAGACGTAAGAGAATTTAACGTAAAATTACTGGCAACTCATACTATCGCGATTCACGCTGATTTTTAAAACACCAGATCTATAACAGATAAATTTTGATAAGGAAACCCAAATACACTCTCATGTACAAAACTATAAAACAAATGAGCTCCTGCGCGCGACAGATAATTTTCTCGGGGCACATCGCATTCACGTTTCCTAGTGGGATTAGGCCTGCCGTTCTTTTATGTACATCTTTATGCAATAGAAAACAAGAGTAAATATTTAAACAAATAGGTTTAAATATATATAGTGCAATCAAAGAAAAATAGCATTTTCCGAATAAATCAACATTAAATAAAATGTATTAAATTCCTGGATTTAATACAAAACTAGAACCGGATAAGTTCGATCGCATGCCTCATGATTAAAGTAACGTATTAAAAAATGAGTAGACCGCCATAATTTTCATCTCCGTATATCGTGTGCTCAAACACGCAGATCGGCCGTGCGTTGTTTTCCATGGCGAGAGGCTAGAATCTAGATACCCGAATTATAACACCGCCCATCGTTTAAATTAAATAAAATTTCCGTAAATTCATAATTAATGTTCATCCTATATACGCTAAAGCAAAATAAGTAAGAATTAAAATTACAAAGTACCAATAATTGCAAATATTTATAAAATGAATTAGTATGCAAAATAGAAATAATACCACGTTATGATCCTTAAACAAGCATCTGATTTTTTCAAAAATACGTTCACAGCGCCTAGACATCCCTAGTAATAAGATGGCTGCAGCAGTGGTCTGATGAGATATTTCTGCTGTATGTAATATTTTTTGAATAATTAGTACTTCGTGCAGAAGCTGGTTACAAATAACAAAAAATCATGGAGCTGGTCTCCTGGGCGCGGAGTGGTGGTGAGGGGGGATGAGGTGTGGTGTGGCAGGCGAAAGCTTTCTAGGAAACTGCGCCGTGTAATCTCTCAGAAGTTGACCGACGTTTCAGAGATAACTACAAAGAGCAATATCTCATAAAGTCGCCTTGTCGTCTTCGTGAGAATCTGAAATCTCAAATGGCTTGTTTGTTTGTAATAGCTTTTCACAACTGACACAGTTATCAGCACAGACTGAGAAAGCCCAAAAGTGGAAAGAAAAACTTCATTGTAGAGTGTATAAAAAACTGCACAGTCTGCCAGAAACTGAATTTTTCTCAGGTCGAACAGAAACTAGGATAAAACTGTACAAAAGTTAACTAAATAAGCAAGAACAGTATCTTGGATCTACACAGGAATTTCTTCAACGTCTTGGCCAAAAACCATAACAGATCTGTTAATACCATACAAAATGCTACGTAATAGTATATGAAGCTAAGTGTGCTGTTTACATATTTTCGTTTATTTAATGACACGTTTCCAACTGCACGGCTTATAAAACCTGGGCTGCAAAATATATGTGGAAATGAAGAGATTCGCGCAAGATAGGCGAAAATGGAGGACCACATCAAATCAGTCGAAAGACTGATGACAAACAAACAAACAAAACAAAAACAATTTATTAATGTTATTCAGGTTTTGTCACTTACCCAATGGAAACAATATCCTAACCATTGCCTTTTAATAAATTCGGTGGAATGTGATATGTTACATCTGTTTCGTAACTCATAAATAATTCTGAACCACTATAACGTTACGGCCCACAGTTGAACCGACCGCTATAAATCACAACGCCTGCATAAAAATTGACTGTTTTAGATTCTAGAATATCCGCAACATAACTCAGTTGTTGATCTATACGTATATCGATAATTTATCCAATTAAACACTCAAAACATTTTCAGAATGTAACCAGACCAATCCTATTTCATAATGAAAACAAACAGATTTTGGAATATCTGACCCAACGGTGCACATATAAATTTGTATAAAAGTTCACGGGCTCAACGGCCAAAAGGAGCTTTTATCACAAAATTTGGTTAGGGAAATAAAGTTCGATGAGTCATAAAAACAAAGGTGGAGCCATCATGAAAATGTGCTACAACCCAGAAGACAGCTGTCTTCGTACTCACCACCGCTGCTGCTGGTTAGCCCACTGTTACTCTCTTATCCTGAATTTTGTCCTTACTTTTCTCATTCACAGGTCGAGTTCAAAAAAACAGAAATGTGCCTGGCATATTCCAAAGAAATCCTCTCCAGATGCCAGTGTTGTCTATGTTTACATGTAAGAATAATAGTAAACACAATAATAATAACTCATTATGTTTCAATTTTTCACTCCAAAAAAATGTCTATAGTGTATCTAAATCTAATATGGGGATATATAATTTTATATGTGGCCCGCGGAGTTATGATGCATTTCCAAAGTGGCCCGAAAGATCATTTGGGTTGGCCACCCCTGCTTTAGAACATCGCGAACGAATACCGGAACAGCGCCTTCAAGAAATCTAGAGCTGCTTCCTTCCCAATCCTTTCAAGTTCACCACACACTCATCCTTCCCTTCCACGAAGAGATGAGATTCTATGTTCTCGTGGCGATAAAAATGTCGGTGTTGGTTTCTGGGTGTTAACGCGGTGTGGACTTCCAGTGTAGATACCAACGATTCAGGGCTGAAGATGGAGAGGGTATATTCCTCCGAAATGCCTATATCTACCTACAATTCCACACGGCGTTACAACCCAGAAGACCAACATCGACACCCTATCGATTATTGAATGCAGCTGATCTGACACATGCAAGACAGATGTTGCAAAATCGATAAATAATACGGGACTAAATTAAATTTTTAAGTCTGAGTGTAACCTGTGGAGAGAAGGAAAATAATATTTTTTAACTGAAAAAAACTCTTATGTGGAAGAGTGGACGTGGGAGAAGGAAGTAATGAGAATGGGGAAACTAAATCCTAGAGCCGTAGAAAATGAACTAGATGATGAACATGCCGGAAAAAAGGGCCACGAACGTTTCTAACCACACTGAATTATCATTTTTCCCCCCTCGTGCAAATAAAACCCCCTCCGTTTAAATCCAGCAATTCGGTCTCCCCAACAAGCAAGCTAGAAGGTTCTCTAAACCAAACACCATCTGATCATCTGTCTGATATTCTGCCATTACGCTATATACATGAAGACTGGTCAGACGGTTTGATCAAACCGGCACGTACACGCGTGGTCACGCCATAATCACATCTAAAGTCACGATTTCACGCACGTCCCAAAACACACCGCAAAAGTGGGGAGGAGGCGAAAGTCGAAATACGGAGCACGATAAAAGGCGTGGAAGTTTATTTTACAGGGGCCATTAGTCACAATGTGAAAACGTGAACTGATACTGTGAGTAGGTAAAAACTTCGGATTTTTCCGAGAATGCTTAATGATCTAGGGGAGATGTGGTATTACTGATAACTTACATCGCTCATAACTATGACTTGAGCCCAACTCTCAAACTTTTCTCTAATATGCCACCAATATATCACTGAAATTCCACTTGTGAATTAAAGAAGACTGTTACCGTTAATTTTAACATTCTCGGGACCTTGCACTGAAGTACAAACAAATTTATGTTCTTTTGTATGATCTGAAGCTTTCACGGCGACTAAATATCATAAATTATTCTTGGCCCCAATGACGAAAACATCATAATTTCGAGAACCATCTTCGTCCTCGTGGACACGGCTGGTATTCGGAAGAACTTATAATAAATTTATTTTGTATCTGAACCTTTAGGAAATCGGGTTGCCCGAAGGATGTGGATTAAATTTACCTGGTTCCATAAAATGCGGGGGACTTCCTGGCTAGTTGAGTGTAATGGGAGTTTCTCAACGACTCCGTTTCATACAGTTAGTTACATAAGCTATTTATGTTTCTGGTTCCAAATTAAACAACGTCGTTTATTACTCGTAATTTTACGTAATTTTATATGATTTTTCAACCCGTATTCTAAGGATTTCATTTTCCGTCAAAGAAGATTCTGTTTGTCTTAAAAGAGTCATGGTAGTGCCCATTCGTGTTGTCGCTGACCGTCATACGAAACAGAAACGTAATCTACTGTGACGGAAGCCACAGCGCGTGGGTGGTTGTGGCTTCTTGTCTTGGCTGTGTACGCACACACTCTTTAAGTCTGCTTTACTCTTCTTGGCACAGGAAACTATACACCTGTTCTTTACTTCATTGTAACGCAAGATTTTTCTAAGAGGCTTCCTGGGGCCACAGCCCATTATCTCTCATTACGATTGAGGTCTTCGGTCTTTCGCATATCCTTTCTTCGAAGATACGCTGTAGGGAGAGTAATTCAAAACAGGGTAGCCGTACACGATGTTTCTAGAAAGTAGCTACATTTTATAGGCATAGATATTCAGCTCGTGATGCATTTCTTACAATGAAAGGGATTCGAGCATTATTTCCGTACTCACAAGATCCCGACAGTGTGAAAAATTTTCCTCTAAGGACTAATTTTTATATTATTCTTCGCCTATGTCTAGTCACCCGCGGTGGCTACTTTATTTGATTATTTCCTACCAAAATTTTACAGTTCCTGTTTGTTGTTTGCAACATTCATCCCACTAAACTTTACACAAGGAGATCAAAGCGCCCCTTCTCCTGATATCGTTACTTTTCGACCTCCTTTCATTACTCAACAGCGTAACCACAAGTTTACTTGATCATACAAAAAGAGAGAACAAAGATCACTAAATCATACGCGTGACAATATTCGCCACAAAGAATTTTCAGAGTTCTTTTTATCAGTCTGTACCAATGTCCGATGGTCCCGCCTGACGAACATTGTAGTGTCAATACATGGCTGTGATGTCAAGCTCAAACACCACACCCAGCATCTCACTCGGTTCAGACTAAATGCAGTGAAATCTGCGTAAAATAAAACGTGCACAAAACGTTTTGCCTGAATATGTCTTTGGCCGCGAA